CCTGAGTGACTAGAAGAATGGTGGTATCTGAATTCAATAGAACCATTAACATTAGATATATAACAAAGGTTAAGGCTTGGTCAGTTCTTGTATGGCCTCAATGGGCAGGAGGTGGTTCACTTTAAGTATTTCATTGACTTGGTTGTTGTTCAGTCACTTTGAGTTATGTCTGACTCTTCATGGCCCCATTTAGAATTTTCTTGGTAAAGATACTGGGTGATTTGCCATTTTCTTCTCCAGTTCATTTCACAGATGAGACAACTGAGGTAAACAAGGTTAAGTGAATATCCCAGGGTCACACAGCTTGTAAGCATCAAAGGCCAGATTTGGATTCAGGAAGATGAGTCTTCCTGGCTCCAGGCCTAGCACTCTATCCTCTGTATCACCTACTTGCATTCCTTAATTTGGGACCTTGATCATTCTGAGAATCCTGAGTTTTAAGGTAATTCAAATGTGTGTCTGGTTATTTCCTTACTAGTTACTAAAATTATAGCCTCTCTCCTTAATTAATAAGCTGTTATGAGTCCTTACTCCAATTTACTAAATATTATTTATTTAATTTATGTAATAAACAAGTGAAATAATTTCTCCAAAGCAGTTCAACTCTATTCCTCCCTCCCTCATTTTATCACTTTATCTTCATATGTGTATATATGTATATGTATACATGTACATATATTACATTATGCATATGTATGTATAATTTCAAAATCTCCTGTCTCCTTTATCACATCACTGCAGTCGCTGTCTTCTCTGCTTTGGGAACACACAACCACCAGTCAATGTTGTGAAGATAGTAGCCAAAGTTTTTCAAAAATTCTCTATAAAATGTTTCCTCACAGGATATAATCAGAAGTTTTTCAGGATAAAGGTTCTCTCCATCTCCTTCCCCTCTGTACCTCACCCAGTCTCTCTTCCACTATAGCAAGTAACATTCTCTCCAGCCATACACTTAAACTGACAGTCTCTCAATAGTCTATTGTTTTTTAAAGATACAGTAACAGCATCAATAGCCTCTGTGAGAGTTCCTAGTTAAGCTGGTGTTGCACATGGTAATGTCTCAAAGGCAGGACTCAAATCCAGGTCTTCCTAACTCCAAACGCTGCCTTTCTGAATCTAGGTATTCCTGAAAAAGGCCAAGCAGAATCTCATTAGAAGGAAATAATCAGTACTTCCCAGTTTGTCTCCCTGTTCCTGCAAGATGGTTTGTGTTTTTCTGTCATTTTCTTTACCTTCTCCATATTTATCTCTTCATTCATTGAACTGATTCAAATTCTAAAATTGAGTGCATTTATTTCCAATTGCCTCTATGCAAAGTTTCCTTAACTAACAATGTTTTATGATAAATTTAATAGTAAATAGCAGTACAGCAATTAGAAGTATTTAATTAATGCTTATATTTAAATAATCACATTTCAGTGCTTCCCCAAAATGTCAAAAGAAATTTCAGTCAGTTGCCATAAGTCCCTATCAAGATTCATTCCTTATTTATCCATTTCTTTTCTATTACATTATGATTGTACTTTGTGTATACTTTATTGCTCCCATTCAGCTTTTTATGTGTTTTATAATGTTTTCTTGGCTATTTTCATGCTTTTTTATAATTGTCCATCTTCATTTTCTTTTAATATTCTTATATATGCAATATATTTATATACACAAACATGAATACATAGATATATATCTAAACATAAGTGTGTATTTATGTATATATGTGTGAATGCATGTGGGAGTATATTACACAAATTTAATAGCATAGGAAGCTTCCAGTGACAAAATTCAGTCTACCAGTATAGCTAAACAACTATTCTGTTCCTCACAGTTTTGGAGAATTGCCCGGATACACTAACCATGTTAACTGACATACTCAGAATCAATCAGACATTATGTATCACAAGCAGAACTGAACCCAGCCTATCTTGATTTGAAAGCCAGCTTTCTATGCACCATACTAGAGGGGTTAAACTCATAGCTCAAAAGCCCCATTTGGCCCAGACTCCTGATTGCCACACAAACCAGATGAAATGTATTTGGGAAATCTTTCAGGAGACAAATGAAACAATATGTGGATGAGATATGATTTTCCAAGATAATATGCAACTTGCAGGGATCCTTATTTATGGTTTAGTGGCTTTCATTTCTATTCAAGTTTGATACCACTCTACAACACCATGGTAACTCTGTCCTATCAAAGTATCTCTAATTTATGTAAGTATTACATATTTCTGGGCATTTATATGGCTTCTAGGGATTTTTATTTTCAAGTATAAATTATTTTGCTATAAACGAAGCAATCCTTTTATTTCTTTTTTAAAATAAAACTCTCTGAGTATATTCCAAACAATGAGATTTTTGGTCAAAGAATATAGTCAATTTTGTTAATTTGGCATATACTAATAGCATTATTTTCTAATAAGATTCTACTAGTTTGAAAGTCACATTTTCTATTCAGCTCTGGTCTTTTCGTCAAGAATGCTTAGAAGTCCTCTATTTCATTCAATATCCATTCCTCCTCCCCCTGAAGCATTATACTCAGTTTTGCTGGGTAGGTGATTCTTGGTTTTAATCCTAGCTCCTTTGACCTCTGTAATATCATATTCCAAGCCCTCTGAAACCTTAATGTAGAAGCTGCTAAATCTTGTGTTTTCCTGATTGTATTTCCACAATACTTGAATTATTTCTTTGTGGCTGCTTGCAATATTTTCTCCTTTACCAGAGAACTCTGGAATTTGGCTATAATAATCCTAGGAGTTTTCCTTTGGGAATCTCTTTCAGGAGATAATCAGTGTATTCCTTCAATTCCTATTTTACCCTCTGGTTCTAGAATATCAGAGCAGTTTTCCTTGATAATTTCTTGAAAGATGATGTCTAGGCTCTTTTTTTGATCATGACTTTCAGGTAGTTCAATAATTGTTAAATTATCTCTCCTGTATCTAATCTCCAGGTCAGTTGTTTTTCCAATAAGATATTTCACATTATCTTCTATTTTTTTTTGGTGAGGCAATTGGGGTTAAGTGGCTTGCCCAGAGTCACACAAGTAGTGAGTGTTATGTGTTTGAGGTCGGGTTTGAACTCAGGTCCTCCTGACTCCAAGGCCAGTGCTCTATCCACTGTGCCACCTAGCTGCCCCTAGGGAACTCTTGAAGAGTAGAAGTCATAGGGAGTTCATGAGTTGTGTTAGTGGAGGAGGTGCCCACAATGATTAAACCTCAATGTCTTCATCCAGATATCTCCTGAACTTTGTCAATTCCTTTTCTCTACCCTTTCACAGAAGTCTGTCCAGGTGCTTCTTCTCTGATATAAGAAAAGCCAAAGAGAATGGCAAGGCAAAATCATTACTTGTGATGTCTAATAAGTTGGCTATTCTTCCTACCTCAGTGTTCAGTCTTCTTTAATGCTTTCCCCAGTTCCAGATGTGGGATGCATGAGAGAACCAAGAAAAAGACTTTGTACAAGGAGGTCCTTTTTAGCAAGTGGATGCTCCTTTGAAGGTGCAAGGATTCAGGGTCAGCTCTGGGGAAGTGCCTCAACCAGGTGGATCATAGGGTGGCAGGCTCCAATGATTGCATCAATGATATGTGTTTAGTTACAGACATGCCATAGTGTTCTGAAGTTTCTGAAAAGAGAAGCTTTCTGGATTTGAGTTCTTAGAGCTACAACTTTTCCTCAGATTACAGTGAACCTATTAGGGTTTTGTGTGATAAAGGCTGGAAAGATTTGGAACTTGTGGTGCTTGAGGCACTGGCCATGGGTGCTGGTGTGAAAGCCTGGGAAATTCCTGGGCTTGCAATATGGACCAGACTGAGTGTTGGTGATAAAAGTGTGTCTATATTGAGAAGTCAATGTACAGAACAAGAAGGATAGGATGAATTGCCTGTCGTTAGCTTTCTCCAAGACACTATAAAGCCTGGCATGCATTTGGTTTAGAGAATTGTGGATTGGACTGCCTTCTACAGAAAATTTTGCTATCTCTTTAGTGGTTCATGAAACATAGAAATGAGAGGATGAAGTTAGTGCCTTCTCAAACTGATGTCATCTAATGAGAATACTCTTTTAATTGGTCTTCACCTCCTTCTAAACTCAGTTCCTCTTAGAGTTTCCCTTAAAGGATAAAATTGTGAGAGACTTTGTGGAATGAACCAGGTTGTCATGAGCTAAAAAGACATACATTTGCAATGGCTCAGCATTCCCCAGGAAGATTTTGTTAAGGAATAAAAGTGACCTCTTGAGAGAAGATACTGAGCCAAAGGGTTTATCTCCCTTCCCTGAACTGCTAGTATGTATAGTACTAGGAATGTGGAATTTATCACCATCTCCTTGAGAATGAGGTTATTGATGTGTATATCTCCTAGATGAGATTGTGAGAATGAGGCCAAGAACCACTCTTCTTGTACAGTGCATTTCACATAGTAACAGATCAGTACATGCTTGTTGAATGAAATGATTGAGTGACCCAGCTCAGGAAGTCAGTCAACAATCATTTATTAAATGCTAACTGCATACCAGACACTCTGCTAAGTATTGGGGATACAAAAAAGGTAAAATATGTGGTCCATACACTTAAGCAGCTTATATTCTAATGGAGGAGACAACATTCAAAGAACTATGTAAATCCAAATCACACACATTGTAATGGGAGAGAATCTCATAGGAAAGACACTAACCAAGAGGGGACTTGAAAGGCCTCACAGAGAAGGAGAGATTTGAGTGGAATCAGGAAGGAAAGCAAAGACTCCAAGAGGTGGAGTTGAGCAGGGAGAGCATTCCAAGGAATCATCCAGGTAAGGAATTCTGGAGAATTTGCCCCTCCATCACTCCAACTTTCAGATAGGTCAACAGTAAAAGGGTAAAGGTCATGTGAAAATGATGTGTTGTATTCCACTGACCAAGCTGCCTGTGACCTGTGGTCTGAATTTAGCATGGCTGAACTTGTCTCCTTTGAACCTATGGAGTCCCAATGACTTATTAGTAGCTTCTGATCTTCTCCCTACTCCCTGCAGGTGATTACACAAAAATTACCAGCAGGTCCTGGCTTTGATGTTTGCTGTGGAGGAGATCAACAGAGACCCCCGGCTGCTTCCTAACACTACCCTGGGATTTCACATCTACAACACCTACCAAAGTGATGCCAGGACCTTGGAGAGCTCCCTGAGGTGGCTTTCAGGACAGGACCCCAGGACCCCAAATTATCGTTGTCAGAGGCAGGACAAATCAATGGCTGTTATTGGAGGAGCCACATCCGCTCTTTCTGTCCAGATGGGGACCCTTCTGGAGCTCTACAGGATGCCACAGGTAGGGAGTTTTGAACCTGCCGTCTCTTTCCCCTTTCTTTGAGGTGATGTAACTTTCCCAGCATTATACAAGATGGAAGGTAGAAAGGATAGAAGTTTTATTAAGTGCCTTATATGTGCCACACACTGTGCTAAGGGCATAACAAATATGATCTGATAGAACCACCCTGGGAGGTAGGTGCTATTATTATTCTCTGTTTTACAGTTGAAAAAATTGGAGCAGAGTGTTGGTGGGGCAGAGCCAAGGTGGCAGAGTGAAAGCAGTGACTTGCTTGAGCCCTCGTCCAACTCCTTGAAACATCTGTAAAAATGGCTCTAAACAAATTCTAGAGCAGCAGAACTCACAAAAAGACAGAGTGAAACAAATTTCCAGCCCAAGACAACCTGGATGGTTGATTGGAAATGTCTGTTGCAACAGGCTGGGAAAGGAACACAGTTCAGCATGGGGCCCACAGGCAAAAGCCAGGCCTCAGTGAATCTGGAGCAGGTCTCAGGGGACTGAATCACAGGCACCTGTGGTGGTTTCCAGACTTCTCAATCTACAAACACCAAATACAACTTAGAAGGTCAGTAGGAAAGGTCTGTCAGACCTCAGTGAGAGAGGAGCTCGGTCTGAGCCCCAGTCCTGGCACAGCCTAGGGTCTTTGCTGGCACTGATGCAGGATTCCCTTGCTTTTCCCGTGCTTGTTTCTGGGTCTTAGTGCTGGGTGGTGGAGCTTGTGGTGGTGGTAGAGAGGGAACCCTCCTCACAGTTCCAAGACAGAAAAGAGTGCATGTGGTCACTCATAGACCAGAGCACAGGTCAGGAAAGGAGTAAACACCTCGCCCTTGATCGTACCACCTTGGAAGAGCTGAAAATTTACAGGTCCCTAGATGTATCTCTGAAAACAGTTGCACAAAACCCCTGAAGCTTGGAACAGTACATTCTCCCCACTGGAAGCAGACTCCTACCTTAATAGAGTTTAAAAGTCAAATAATTGGCTGGGATTATGAGCAAGCAGTGCAAAAAAGCCAGACCATAGAATCTTACTTTGGTGACAAAGAAGATCAAAACATACAATCAGAAGAAGACAGCAAAGTCAAAGCTCCTACATGCAAAGCCTCCAAGAAAAATATGAATCAGTCCCAGGTCATGGAAGAGTTCAGAAAGGATTTTGTGAAGCAAGTGAGAAAAGGAGAGGAAAAACTGGGAAGAGAAATGAAAGTGATGCAAGGAAATCATGAAAAACAAATCAACAGCATGGTAAAGGAAACCCAAAAAGTTTGGGAGAAGTAAAATGGGTTAAATTATGTCACATAAAACAGACAAGAAAAAGCTTTTACAGTGAAAGGGAAGTGGAGGAAGATGAGAGTGAATGAGTGAATTTTATTCTGATCTGATTTGGCTTAAAGAGGGAATAACATACATACTCAATTGAGTATGGAAATCTATCTTAGCCTACAGGAAAATAGGGGGGAAGGGGATAAGAGAGGGGAGGGATGATAGAAGGGAGGACAATTTGGGGGAGGCAGTAATCAGAAGCAAACACTTCTGAGGAGGGACAGGGTCAAAAGAGAGAATAGAATAAATGGGGTGTGGGATAGGATGAAGGAAAATATAGTTTTTCACAACATGACTACTATGGAAGTGTTTTGAATGACTACACATGTATAACCTGTATCGAGTTGCTTGCCATCTCAATGAGGGTGGTTGGGGAGGGAGGAAGGGAGAGAATTTGGAACCCAAAATTTTTTTTTAAAAATGTCAAAAATGGGGACAGCTAAGTGGCGCAGTAGATAGAGCTCCAGCCTTGGAGTCAGGAAGACCTGAGTTTAAATCTGGCCTCAGACACATGACACTTACTAGCTGTGTGACCTTGGGCAAGTCACTTAACCCCAATTGCCTCATCAAAAAGCAAAAAAAAATGTTAAAAATGTTTTTACATGCAACTGGGAAATAAGATATATAGGCAATGGGCTATAAAAATCCATTCTTCCCTATAGGAAAATGGAAGGGGAAGGGGATAAGAGAAGAGGGGGGTGATAGAAGGGAGGGAAAATTAGGGGAAGGGGTATTCAGAATGCCCACCATCTTAGGGTGGGTGAGGGGTGAAATGGAGAGAAAATTTGGAACTCAAAATCTTGTGGAAATGAATGTTGAAAGCTAAAAATTAATTAGTTAATTAATTAAAAAGAGAGAGACAAAGAAAAAAAAGAAAAAATTGGAACAGAGAGAAATTAAGTGACTTACCTAGGGTCACACAGTTAGTAACTGAATGAGGCAAGATTTGAACTCAAGTCTTCCTGCCTCCAGGCCCAGTAATCTATAGACTACGCCACTGAGATACCACACAGCTATTAGGTGTACAGGCAGGATTTGCACTAAGGACTTTCCTTCTTCTAGTCCAACACTTTGAGACAGGGCAACCAAAATGGATTTCATATCTATAGAACCCATCATTGATATGACTGCCAGCATACTACTCCTTCTTTTACTCTGCATCACAATGTCTGTGCCCCAGTTCAGTGGGGCTCAGGTGTTATTATGGACAAGAAAATTCCTCACCTGGTTTCCAACTTTCCAATTTAGTCAGGCTTCTTGCTAGGCCTTTTCTTTCTACTTGAACTCTGCTGACATGTCCTTGTCAACCTCAGAGTCTCTCCCACATTACACATATGGAGAAATCAAGGGACTTGTCCAGGGTGAAACAGTTAATAACTAACTGAAGCGAGATTTGAACTCCTGTCTTCCTGATTCCAGGTCCCACACTCTATCCAGTGTGCCACCTAGATGCTACATAGCTGGTAAGTGTTGAGGCAGAATTTGAACTTAGGGCTTTCTGACTCCAAATCCAGCACTCTCTCTGAGGCACTGTGGCCAGAATAGAAATCATACCTCAATAGGTCTTACAAGACATCAGCATGAAAGGCAGTGCCCTCCTACCCCGCCTACCCCAGATCTCAATGTCACTGGGGCTCAGGAGTTATTGCCAAGAACATTTCTTACCTGGTGGCTAACTTTCTGTCATTCATTCCAATTCAGTCAGGCTTCTTGCCAGGCCTTGTCTTTCCACCTGAACTCTGCAGCGTTGAAGCAACTTCAGGTTTACCTTTACATCACAGCATCATGAAATGTGGAGAAGAGATCATAGTCTTTTTCCAGAACAGATTGTAGTCATGTACTTTTTCGACTTTGAAAAGCCTTCATAAACAATGTAACCTAATTTTCTAATTTTAAAGAAAACCAAAATTGAAGTTCAGAGAATTTGAACAAGTTATATGAGCTATTACTCTTAGTGTTAGTGCTTGAGTTATTCATTACTCTTTATTAACTCTTGGGAAGAATGCGTGAGTCAACTATGCTCATTATATGACCTTACTAAATAATTATTTCTAAAATCTAATTAACTCTCCACAGCAGGGAGACTCCTGCTAGGGACTAAGGAGGAATAGCATAAGAAAGACATACCCAATTTCTCAGACTGAACCCTAGAATTCTGAGGTGAGAAGTATCCAGTTGTTCACTGGAAACCTGGGAGAGTGAGGCCAGGGCCTGGGCAATGGATTGGTTATGTGTCTTTGGCTAAATCATTTAACTCTCAATGCTCTAGCTTATTCTAAACCTACACATTGCAGGAAAAGTACTGACCTGCATTGGTTAAAAGACTGTCCTTTCCCAAGTGATTAAAGAGTTTTACATTCCTAAAAATTATATTATTTCAAAATGAGTCATCAATGTTGCAAATGGAATTATTTCAATTACTATTAAAGTCATAATTAGCAGTTAAATAAAGCTTTGAGTATTGCAAAGCAATTTTGAAATGTTTTATTTGATTCATACAGCACACCTGGGAATTGAGTGCTAAAATTATGCCCATTTTTCAGTTGAGACAGACAATGGTTAGGTGACTTGCCCAGGGACACAGAGAGACTACGTGTCTAACACTGGATCTGAACTCAGATCTTACGAATTCTAGGACTGGCATTCCATCCACTGTGACACCTAGCTGCTTCATATATGTGAGCATATATTTATTCACCAGGCAGTTTGGTCTTGGCAACACTATTCTTGAGGAATTCCACTTTACTTGAAGAAAGAATCACTTGTTAACCACCACCATTCCAATACATAGTAATAATGTGTTAGTTTTACCTGGGAAATTTCTTTGGGGCCACAAACAAGGGTAGTGAGTCAGGAGAAATGCTGAACTATTTGGGAAAGAAGTCACTGGGGGTTCAGGGTAGTCGAGGATTTAAAACCAGTGGAATCAGAGTATTCTATCTTTTAGCCATGGTCTTTCACCTGATGTAATTTTGGGGTGACTATTTTTCCCTTAGTAAAGTTCGGTAGATTGGGTAATATATTGAGATTTATTGCTATGCACCAGTATCACTTTAATAGAACCCAGTGAGACCCATCTTTCTTTCCCATCCAGTTAAGCTATGGCCCATTTGATCCTGCCCTGAGTGACAAGGCCCAGTTTCCTTCCCTGTACCAGATGGCCCCTCAGGACTCCCCCCTGCACCTGGGCATTGTCCAGCTGTTGTTTCATTTTGGCTGGATGTGGGTGGGGCTAATTGTCACAGATGACATGAGAGGTGAGAAGTTCCTCTGGGACAAGAGAGAAGAGATGAGAAGAAACAAATCCTGTGTTGCCTTCACAGAGAAGATCCCTGTCAGTGAGAGATGTCATGCTGAATCCATGGAGTATTTTATGCCCAGAATTACGGCATCATCAGCCACGGTAATCATGGTGATACAGACTCACCGATGATCCTGAGATATTCTCAGCCACCTTTATTTGGAATTTGGAAAGTTTGGATTATCACATCACACTGGGATGTCACCATGAGACCCTACAGTCATTTTAGTTATCCTTTTTATGGGTCACTCATATTTTTACATCAGATAAGTGAGATTCCTGGTTTCAAAGCATTTCTCAGGACGGTCACCCCAACCAAATACCCAGGAGACATTTTCCTTAAGAGTTTCTGGGTCTCAGCATTTGAGTGCCCAGATGAGCCAACCAAACTGGAGCGAGAGGACTGCTCACTGAATGCTTCCTTGGAGATGCTGCCTTTGCACTATTTTGACATGACCCTGTCTAGCCTCAGTTATTTCCTCTACAATGCTGTGTATGCTGTGACCTGGGCTCTTCATGAAATGCTACATGCAAGATCAGAAATGGGATCTGTGAGAGATGAAGGGTACCTGGTGCCTCAGCCATGGCAGGTAACGCCCTCTGTTCTCGACGTTGTGTCCATTAGCATCCCCAGGTTCACAAATCGACATTATTGGTTTGCTACTTTCCTTGGCACTGATATTTCTCTTACTTTTACTTGGCAAGTCCTAGGCTCATGGATGCCCATTCCTTGTTTTATGTTATTTTCTTAGTTTGGCTTCCTTTGTATGCCTTCAGTATTTGTTCACTAATGGCATTATGTATACATGACCATACTGAGAACTTACCTATGATTTCAAAGCACTTCTTTGGACCCTTTCTTCCTGAAGGGCTGAGTCTTCCCCTCAGAACTACAGGAAAGACTTTCTCAAGCCTGTTGCCTAGCAGAGTGCTTTGAACCCAACATAGAATGCAGGTGAAATCGGTTCTTAAGGAACAATGATCAAATTGTTAGATGCAGGAACGTGATGAAACTGAACTGCCCTCTTTGTAAACAACTACTTCCATTCTCTCAAGCTAATCCTTCCTTTTCCTCATTCTGTGTGTTGTAGAATGGGTGTTATTCAGAAACCCTTCTCAGTGCCAACCCCTGATGGACATAAAATGCAGGCTTCCAAGAAATCACTCATCTTTCTGAGAAATGATAGCAGCCTCAGCTTTAATTACATGGAGAATTAGAGTCTTTATTTTAGAGCATGGGTTGTTAATGTGGAATCCACATTTAGACACTACTCTCCCAAGGGGTTTATAGATAATTTTCAGAAAGTCCATAAATTTGAGTTGGAAAAATATACATCTTCATTTTCACTAAATTCTAATTGAAATTTAGATTTTTTCCATTATAAATTAAAAACAAAGAAATATGTTTCTGAGAAGAGATCCATAGGCATCACCATTCTGCAAAAAATGCCATGAAAAAATGTTCAGAAACCATGTTTCCCAAGAATCCCATTCACTTCCCAAGTCGAAATAAAAAGACTCATTAGAGTTTGTTGGGACCCAATTTTAAAAATTCCTTATTGTCATTCTTTTTTTTAAAAAACGATACTTAAAAATAACAATTATATTCTAATGATCTTTCCCTAATAGAATATTACCTCATTAGAAAAAAATCAGTTAATCAAAACAAAATGACACACTTACTTCATTTAACAATGTATTTCTCATTACACCACATTAGTCCACCACCACCCTGACAAGAGGAGTATATTAATTTTTAGCGTCAGTCCTCTGAAATCAAGATTGGTCATTGTGTTGATAAACATTCTGACATAACTTTTAAAATATCATTTTCCTTCTTCCTTCTACCTATATTTCAGCCTGGGACCATGAAGCATGATCATATATGTTCTGACATAATTTTTCAATATGGTGTGTCAATTTTCTCCCTTGGTGGCCCTGTTCACCATACATGTAGCTTTCTAAATTGAAGCGCTCCAGGTGTAGTAAGATGTTGCTAGTTGACAGAGTACATAAAGCACTGGGCTTGGAATCAGGAAGACTTATCTTCATGAGTTCAGACCCCGTCTCAAACACTTATTATCTGTGTGACCCTGGGCCTGTTTGCCTCAGTTCTTCATCTATGAAAATGTGATGGAGAAGAAAATGGCAAACCAATCCAGCACCTTTGCCAAGAAAACCCCACAGGGTCACAAAGAGTTGCACATGACTGAAATGACTGCAGATCAGCAAAGCCAGAAAAGCTTCAGGTGTGGGAGCAGGAACCAGCTGTGTATCTGCCATCCAGTCTAGCTCAGCATGCAGGGTCTCATAGCCCAGAAGCAAATGAGCATCATGCTGGTTTTGGCCACAGCAGCTTCTGAAGATTATGTTCTCAGGCATGTGGTGGTGATCTTCACTGTCAGTGCAAAGAATGTCAATATTAATGGAATAAATGGAACTCAGGAACCACAGGTCCCTGTTCTAGAAAAACAATCTCCTTAGATCACTGGATAGGCACCACTTTTCATCCATATCAATCTCTACATAAGCATCTATTGACTCTTATTGAACTTTTTGTTCTCTCCTCATCCTTAATATAAGTCAAATGGGCTCTAAGGTGCACACTGCGTACAGGAATGATGACACTAATTGATATCAGAGTGAGCCCTGGAGAATAGGAGTGATCAGTGAGTTAGAATGAGAAAGGTTCAACCAGATTCTCCTTTGCCCATTTACCTGGACACCTTCAGCATCACAAAATGGATGGATAATTGAATAATCACTGTTGGGATGTGATTTTAAAAATTTAATTTTTAAAATAGTCAAAGTAGTAGTAGTAGTAGTAGTAGTAGTAGTAGTAGTAGTAGTAGCAGCAGCAGTAGCTAACACTTACAAAGCACTCTAAGGTTTGCAAAGCACTTTACATCAGCTATCTAATCAAATGCCTAAGCAAGCATTTAATGTGTTCAAGGCAGCATGAGAAGGATGGTAGAAGTTCCATTCACCGTCAGTCTTTGAGTTTCCTTCTTACCTAAATCCTATCAAAAAACAGGACTTTTGATTCTATCACAGTAAAAACAACCCTCAGGCCTTGAGGCTTCAATACCTGCAACATTTTTTGTGTAGACAATGTGCTTAGAAAATGTTTGTTGTATGAGCAAATGAATGATTGAGTGAATGGATAAATGAATTTGCTTGTAGGTTTCCTGCCTGGACCATTGACCTTGGTCCTGTTTTTCCCTGCCTGTGGACATGAGAAAGTGATTCAATTCTTTCCCCATCTAGCTTCACTCATCTCTGAGGAATATTTCCTTTAACAACACTGCTGGGGACCAGGTGGTTTTGGGTGAGGAAAAGAATCCTGTGGCTAAATATGATATCATGAACTTTGGGACACTGTCTAATGATGATGAAGTTCTTGTGAAAGTGGGAAAGTTTGTCCCTCAGTCTCTACTTGGGCAAGATTTCAGCATTTGTGAGAAGAAGCTGTATCAGAAGAGGGTTGATTTGAAGGTCTGTACAAAAGCTAAATGCCATTTGATGTTTTCATTCACTTTAATCCCATCTAGGTCATCATTTATTCATTTAACTCATACTCCTACCCCAGCTGTTTATCTCTTTTTAATCTTTTTTTTAGTAGCAAATGCAGGGATGATGAAGGAATAAATTATCATCATCATCACCATCACCATCACCATCATCATCATCATCATCATTATTTTAAATAAAAAGAACCAAGTACATTTATAAATAAGAAGGATGTTTGGCAACTAGCATTAGTTCAAAGGGCACAATAAGAACAAAAATTGATGCATCCCTGGTGGGGGGGGGGCGTGTAGAGAACTGGCATAGGTATCAGAAAAGCATAGGTTTAATTTCAGCCTTTGACATCAACTGACTGAGACTCAGGGCAAGTCATTTAATTTCTCAGTGCTTGAGACAACTCTAAAGTCTGATGACCTGGTGCCAATCTCTATAGGCTGAGGGAATTTCTTCACTAGGATTTCCTATAATAATGAAATCACAGATTTGGTCCACCCATTTTCCCCTTCCTCAGTCTGCACAATATCACCACTTTACAAAAGATTATTACATTCTCACTAAAGAGGAGGAGGAAGATTAATACATAGTCTCAAGCACATGAAATTGTGGAGACAACATGCAGACAATAATGTTCATGCAAGACATATACAGGATAAAATGGAAATAATCACAGTGAGAAGGGCTGAGTATGAAGGCATCAATACAGAATTAAGTTAGGATTCAATTGATTCTTTTCCTCAAACTTGCTGAATGTCCCTGGAAGCTTCCATGAGGGTAATTATTCATTAGGTTACAGTTTTGGTTATTTTCACTGCATTGAACTATGGATGCAGGTATTTCTTTCACCTCTTGGAAGTCTTCTACACACATTGTGCCCTGCTTTTAATGTATGCTGGGATCACATTCGATAAGCCATTTTGTCTGCCTTATCATACTCCTAACTTACTAAGTTTGAAGTCTATTAACTAAGAGCAGCTTACATTTCTATGGTGTTTTAAGATTTGGAAATTGTTTTTACCTCAGTAACCTTTTGAGGTAGGTATTACATTTTATAGGTGAAGAAATTAGGACTCTGATAATTGACTAAAAGGATTTATTCATCATCACATGGCTAATGAATATGAGGCAGGATTTGAACTCAGGTATTCAGGGATTCTTGTGGCATTATGTACAATTCAAAATGTTTTTTTGAGTTTTTGCTTCTAGCTCTTTTGATTTTGTTATCTTCTTATAAGTTTGTGTCTTGATCTTTATCACTATAGTATCTTTTAATAAGCAGGTCCTTTTTTGTTGTTTGCTCATATTCTAAGGCTGTTTCTTGATTTCATAATTAAGTTGGGCTCTGCATCTGAGATGGAGTTGGGGAGGGAACTGTTTCAAATTTTAGATTTTTCATGCTGCTGTTTTCGGAAGGTATATGTTTTTAGTACTTCCAAGGTAGTATGTCCAATGAGAGGTGCAATCACTGTTATCCAGGTCTATGCTCTGGTCTTTACCATGAAATGGACCTTGTTCCACTGCAGATACAATTTTTCTATTCTTGGCCCTGGAAATGTGGCCAGTTCACCTCTTCTCCTGCAACTACAAGCTCTAGAGTATTTTTTTCCTTGGCACAGAGGCCAGGGTTCCTTCTCTTTTGGGAGGGACCACAGGCACTCTTCTCCATTTTAAAACTGTTCTAAGGGTCCCTACTCCCATGTAGCCACAAGTGCTAGTGTTCCTCATTATCCTGAAACTGTGACTCAGAACTTCATATAAGTCACTGCACCCAGTGTCCCAAAAGATTCTCCTCTTATCTCTTTCTGACCAGATGTATGACCCCCCCCACTATGATCCGTGGGCTGAAAGCAACTGTAGCTCCTGATGCCACTGTTGCAGCTGTCTCCAAGGCCCACTACTGGTATTGCCATGGCATGCACTGTGCCCTGGGCTGACCTCTATGCCAGAATCATAGACCTCTTCTGTTGTCTTTGGTTTGAAAAAACGTCTCACCCCAACCTTTTGTTGGCTCTGCTGCTATAGAATTTGATTTGAGGAATTATTTTAAAGATGTTTAGAGGAAAGTGTTGGGGGTGTTCAACTGAGTTGCTGCTTGTACTTGGCCACTTGGCTCTTCAATAAATGTTTGTTAATTGTGCACTATGTAATTTCCCTGTGCTAGGTGCCAAGAATATAATTTTAAAAAACATCTTTGTCATCAGAGAAAGGTACCAAATGATGAATAAAAAAATGACTGTTTCTATAAGAATCATATCAAGAACATTTTTTTACCACTCTCAACCAGAATCATTAACCCTTATGTAGCAGCAAAACTTCCACTCTGCAAGAACAGAGCCAGACCCTGAAGCATTTTCTTTGCTTGTTACTTCCTAGACCCTCCAGGCTGTGTGCACTGAGAACTGTGGATCTGGATTTAGGAAAATTGCCCAGGAGGGACAGCCTGTCTGCTGCTTTGACTGTGCCCAGTGCCCAGAGGGAGAGATTTCCAACCCAAACGGTAAGTGTTTGAGTATAATATTAAATTTGTAAACCTGGGATACTGGAAGAATGGTGATGTTCTCAATAGAAATAGGGATGGTCATGAGAATAGAGGATTTTGTTTTGATGTGGAACCTCAAGGTTGCCATGATTTACACTTCTGTTATTAGTAGTGATGTGGAGCATTTTTCCTCACCTGTAAATATTTTTTTTTTAATTTCTTCATCTGTGAACTGATTATTCATATATTTTAATCACTGATCCATTGGGGAGAGGTCTCCTTTTCCTACCAGATCCTTCCCAATTACTAACAGACATGCTGTAAGGACCAGAATTCCCCTTCCTGGATAACTCTGTACCTCCCCCATAACCATGGGGTGTTCTTTATATTAGCAAAGGAAGAGGCCAAGGATCTCCAGATTGGTTATAAGTAGGAGTTTAATCAATCAATATGAATACTTAAAAAACAGGAGCAATCTTAAGTCTGGTAGGGCATCCAAACAGTTCAGTGGATCCTTGCCCCCCCCCCCAAAAAAAACCAAATCCCCATGGTAACTATAAAAAACAGCCAAAGGGAGGAGGTGCTAGAGAGTGCATTACTACTGATTGGTGGAGAGTTTTGTTTTCTTCTTAGTAATGAGTTTGGGGGTTAATTCAATGTTATGCTCAAACATAAGCTTGTGCATTAATCATGTCCCGGTCACATATGAGTCATGATATTCTTGTTATGGCTTTTGTAGGTCATAGTATCTAAGTTTTGACTCAGTAGTAAACTATGATTCAGTAACTAAGTTATGATTTGTTAAGAGGTCACCATGTTTGGGCTTCCTCCTTTCACAAAGTTCAAATGTTTATGTCTTTTCACCTATTACTGTATTTTATGGCTTTTCCCTAATCGGTACCTCAAAGTCCACCTCTGCAATGCCACCCATGCATTGTTTCTGAATATTTTCCACAAGATCCCTGGGGTGGCTCTATACCAGGATGTTCAAAGCCTTTTTGGGTACAGCCAGGATGATTTCATTTGTAAGCATAAATCACATAAGCAATACAAGCACAGATAGGAAAACAACATGACCAATAAGAAAGTTACCACAATTATTATACTTTTCTTCCATCTGACCCCTGGGGAGGTGAAGGAAGAACCAGTGGCATTTGGATATTAATGGATGAGGTGAATTTCTGAACTTAACTTAGAACAGGCCATCTGCATTTCTGAAATAGGTTCAGAGACAAATAAACATTGCTTGGGTAGTTTTACAACATATTGGAGGTGACAGAGAGTAGAATCAATTACAGAATTGGATAAGAACAATTTGTTTTTTTTTCAATTCTCCCCCTTTTTGTCAAGGGGAGACTTGTATAATGATGCTCATCAACCCTCCCCCAATGTCCATTTAATTAACAAATTCCATCTTGGAATCCAGATGTCCTATGTGGTTGTCTGGTCTCTGGAACATCTTTTCTTGGGGGAAATCTGCAAAATGTCTTGTCCTTAGGAGTGACTCTTCAGTAGAATTCCTTTTTTTTCTGGTTCTATGTTGTTTGTAGATGTGCCTTAGATGTTCCTGCTATTTTTTTTTTTTTTTTGCAAAATAGATCTCAATACAAATTTAGTACAACCTCTTAAATTTTCCTTCTCCAACAACTAGTTTGTATTGTGAAAACCAACTCAACCCTTAGTGTTCTGGTCTTACCAATAGAATTATAGGGGAGAACAGAAAAGTAGGATCCCAGAGTTTGCTTGAAGCTTCAGAAAATTTAGTTTTCTTTTACATGCCCCCATTACAATCCTTTACATTTACCATAGAGTCTGTTTCATCTTGTTACTTTTTCAAACTTTCCCCCTCTGATTCCAATTCCATTAGGAGGATCAAATGCTATTGGGGATCTAATCATGCATATGAGAACATAAGGAGCAACACTTACAAGTAGACGTTTCCACTCTGAGTTTGATAGTCACACAAATGAATTTACTTATAAGAGACTCCAGATATAATAAAAAATTAACTCCAGATATAATAAAAAATTAACTTGAGAGGATGGTTAAGTAATTAATTCCAAAACAGTGCCTATCAAAAAGTTGTCTATAAAGAAACATATTTGTACGACAGGATTCACATTACACATAAGTGTTATTTCCACATTAGTAATAAATTTGAATGAAACTGATTTTTCCATTAATGTAACATGAAATATTCCATAATTTACCTCCTCTAAGAAAATTGATTGCTCTGAAAGTATCTTCCCCTAACCAAACTGAAGATGTTTCTGATTTAATTTCAGTAATTAATAGAATAACAGCCAGGTTCCTCAATCAGTTGTACCAATACCTAATTGTTCTTACATCACTTTGAAACATTTAAGGACCTTATTTTATCTTTGCCTAATTGTTTCCCTATTTTTCTGAAAGAATGAGCTATTTCAGGGTATGTATTAGCATGTTGATAACAAGCCCATGTACTAACTTACCTAGTTGTTTGGGATATGGAATTACAGTAACTTCAGGTTTAAAACAGCAAGGTCTCACATACTTGCATTGTGCTCATATCTTTTACTGACCACTTACTCTAATTATAGAAATTTGTTATAAAAGGAAAAAGTAGGGAACTGATTATAACAACACCCAACTGGTCCTTCAGGCTTAAGCCTAAGGACATATATGGGACAGGATAAAGCATCCTTAGCTCTGTTTGATTTCAGATAAGAGTTAAAATTTAATAACCAACCATGCAGTAATAATTCCACCTCATAGCCAGACTCAGGAATAGCCAGGTGGGAAACATTCCTATTCAAAGGAAGACAAATGGGAAACCAAGCCAGGAGAGTCTCATATTAGGCTAATTCCAAGGCTGTACTCTTGGCTTTTTCCCAGATGCAAACCTCCACCTGTAATAGTTCAGGATCACATTCTGAGTAGCTTGTGGCATTTCTCTTGAATGGTGGATCACTAACTTGATTTATCAAGACATCTATACCTAAATTCAAACCTCAAAATAAAATTAGTTACATTCCCAGGAGATTTTATCTCAAATGGCTAATTTCACTTATCACAACTTAGGGCTTGATGAAATAATTTTTATTCTCATGGAGTTGCAATAAGCAAAAATTTACCAGAACTCAAATACATATTTCACTTAATATATTTCACTTTTTATCTTTTTGTCTCAAATTTATATTGTTCTAGCGTAAAAAGCAATCATTAGCAACCATTTCTATATTATATTTCAACTTGCAAATCCTCAGTGGCCAAGTTCATTGTTTAGGAACTCCATAACCCAAAACAAGTTTCCCACACAGATGGTTTCTAGCAATCTGGCAAGTTTTAAAATAATGGGAATCAACAAGAACTCCAGAAAAGGGGTTGCCCCTGCCTGCCCACCTCATGATATATTCTTCCTCCACACTGATTGTCTGGGCAGCAAGTCCCCTATTTTTAGTCTCAATTTATTTATTTTGCCCTGGCTGAATTTCCCCTGTATCCTTCTATGGCTACCCACTTGCCAGAATGTCTTTCAGGGTTCCCATATAGCGTCGTGCATTCTGCCTGATGTATCTACCAGAGCAGACATGACTTGTTTATTTTTAGGATCCCAGTATAGGGTGACTGACACATGGGACCTCCGATCACCCCCCACATTGGAGGTGACATTGGTTCTCCTCCTAAGGGAGGGGAGTTGGGGTATCCACCCCATATACCCTTAGAGCTGCTGTGGGCTATACTCTTTGACACCACCCGCC